GCCATAAATTTTGTGAAGACCTTCTTCTGAGAAATCAAGGACTGAGTCAGACCGATACCTCCATATACATATATACGAGTATATGAATTATATATATATATATATCTTTTTTTTTCGCTGAGTTCATTCACCATTTCATTGGAAGCTGCAACCCACATAGCTCATCAATTGATGCACTGCCCGTGATATTTTCACATGCAGCGCACAGCAACAAATCATTAAAAATGCATTTTCAATTTCGTCGCAAGTACCGCGCCGAGAAAGGACCAACAACAAAGAAAGAGAGAGAGAGAGGGAGACTGAGACAGAGAGAGGAAAAGTGAGTGTAAAACAAAGGAAGTACTCGAAACGAACTCGCTTTGGTTCTCCACGATGTGTCGTCTTCTGTCCGCAAATAAAAAGTCGCAACAACTTTCCACCAATTCGGAGTCGGGCTGTCAACTGCATTGCTCACTGAACAGTTCCTTCACATTCATGCACAGCAGATGCAGTCACAACAGCGCTGAACTCTGAACTTTTACACTCCTGCCCGCCCTTGCCACTGTCGACTGTCAAAGCGAAGCTGGCAAGCATTGCCCAGGGAATTAGATGACAGAGTACATATGTATATAATATATACATATGTATAATATAATGTGTGCACTCCGAAGATAAGAAATGAGTATTTCAAGTCTGCCTAGTCGATCAGATTTTTAGCACTTCAGCTAGAGCTTCTTAGTCAATAATTTTAGCAGTTTGTCTCATTAACTTTTTTCGAGTGTGAAGTGATTTGATCAACTCAGTATTTTGAAAGCAATTAAAAATCTAGTATTTCTAAATTCCTTAATAGTTTTACTCGCAAATAATTTAATGCTTTTAGTATTTCTATTAATTTTATTTAAAACAGATTTAGACAAATTGATGTCTTCAGTTAAGTCTAAACGCATTCGAGCTAAAATTACTCAACTTATTATTTATAATTTATTAACAATTAAGTGTGACCAAAGATTATAAATATTACAAGCGCAAATATATTTTAACAGCCGTTCAAACTATCGATAACATTCAAACAGATTTGTCATTTGATCATAAATTTAAGGGCTGCACACTCTTCACTCTATTTAAAATAGCTAGAATTGGCTAAACATATAACAATACACTATACACAAATTTTCACAAAAAAATAAAAAATTAATCATATTATTTTGCTTATTTT